AAGGGGGTGTCTATCCGGGGGTGGGGGAAGGGGCCAGAGGACTAAAAATAGGCCAGTGCTCGGGAGATGGGCTGGGGATAGGAAAAATGCAGGCACGGGGCTGGGAATATGTATAGAAGTTCATTTAGGTTGGTCTTGCCATACCTGCTCTAAGTTAGACTAGCCCCAAGGTACAGTTAACTTAGATCAGGTCAGCTGTTTTTTGATGGATCCAATCTTCGTGGTACTTCTGTAAAGTTCACACTTAGATTGACCTAACTAGGATGTCAGAGCTGATTTGGATCAGTGCCTCGACACAGTGGAACTTTGTAGCACAAGGCACGGTAAGGCAAGGGAAGTCTTGGCATGGTGAAGAGTTCCGGCGTGGATAGAGTTGCCGTCGAGGATATGCAGATTTGCATAACACGATTGGCCGATGTTAAATTATTCCCACATGGCGGCTGGCAATTGGCTTCCCCGCTGGGCAATTGGCTCGCTAGCCGTATAAAAGGTTAGGGGCGTTTCCGCCCTAGTTGGAGAACTCCGCAATTCCCCCTGGAGTGGAACTCCGGCAGTTTGATCACCTGCCAACGACTCCCCGTTGTCGAAGCCTTACGACGTATCCTCCGTGTTGCATGCCCCAGTTAGACCCGCGCTACCCGGTCTACAAGAGCTCCTCGATTAGCGACTAGAGATTAGAATTGTTGCAACTATGATTGAAGTGTGAAATCACTTCTTGCCTGCGCTGTATATGACTCTACAGTGTAAGTAAAACCATCTCTGTTTTTCCAACTGATACGTGTCCCGTCTGTGCCTAATTCCGCTCCAGTGATAGAGAGTACCCATGTGCCTGTCATGGGATCGCAGTCGCAACCCCAGCTAGCGTTCCCAAGGATTCCCGATCCTCGGTCCCCCCTCGGCCCCCACATAGGAATATAAGCGTAAGGGCCACACCTGTGCTAACTAAGTTATACTGGGCGGCCACTTTTAATACCTATCTAACTTCTCCCTAACTTCCCTGAATGTCTATACCTAGCCTTAATGTATTGTACTGATTACCTTAGGGAACAGTCATGCAAAAATTGATTGTTGAGTGCTAACTACTGCAAGGAATCCCAAAGATAGTAGTTTTGAAAGAATTTGCTATGCAGAAGAGGGATAACTCCCTCCGCAGAAGCACAAAATCCAGCTGATCTCTAGTGTGTTCTCTAAAAGCTGACAGAAGCTTCAAAAACTACTTTGGCAAGTTTCTAAACTTTTTACCCCCAAAGGAGATTTTTTTTTCTCTTCAATTATGTGATGGGAAATTATGCTTTTAGTTTGCCTGCAGCTATTCATTTGAGATAGCAGTAGGTGAATTCAGTGAAAAATGAGATGGCTGGAAGAAACCTCAAGCTATACGAGAGTTCCTTTTTTTTTCTTTTGTGAGCATGTTATGAAACGTAAAAGAAAGGAAATGTATAAAAAAAATAGCATTTTCATTCCTTAAATCCCCTTTTTTAGTTTGCTCTGTTAAAAAATTAGTCATCCCATTCTGATGACAGGCCACTGAGAGTCCTAGGGTAATGTGTAACATTTCTGTCTCTGTCTTAAGACTTCAGGAACTGAATACCTGGATCACAATATTTATGTCTAATGTTTCTCATTTCCAAAGAGGTAGAAGTGAAGAAATGCAACTCCGGCAAGAAAATGAACAGAAACTTCTGAGTCCTGCTTACCATGAGAGGATACAGATTTCAACTGCAAAGAGAGACCAACTTCTTCAAGAAAAGACATGGTTACAGGTAACAAGACTGTAAAGTGGTTTGCGAGAACTGCTGGTGGGGAGGGAGTAGCTTGTAGGCATTCGCACAGAATTAAACGAACTGATGGTATAGTGACTTTGTTTCTGTGCTTGAATTAGAAGCTTTGGCTTTTGTCCAGCTGGTTATCTAACTGATGACTGGAGAGTATAACCACAGAGGCTTTGTGAATCTCATTACAGACACAGAAGAGTTGAAGGCTTAGTTGTTCATGACTGTGCTTTAACTTTCCCCATTATTTTTTAAGTATGCTCTTTATGTTCAGAGGTCTACATTTCACTGATCTTTAGTAGTTCTTAGTAGTCAGATGCAGCCATCAATATACAATTTACCAGCTTTCATTCATGAATGACAATCTGTACATTTTGTAGTGATGCGGTGGTTGTCATTAACAAGTCAGCATCTGCCAACAGTAACTGTGAACTAATATGCAAAATCGGAAGGCTCTCCTGCCATTTGGATTTGGATGTATCTGTGTGATAATGGCTGGAGAATGTTGTCTGTTCTAGAATGGCTTCTCTTGTAATGCATGTATAAAAATACCTACATGCTCTTCAACTGTAGACCACTCTCTTTTGACTCTCTCCCCCCAAAACTCGTTTTTAAAGATTTCCTAATAATTAAACCTTTTCTCTGATACTCCCTAGTCAGCCTTAGGAAGGAATCTGTCTGAACCATCTTGTTGCCTTTACTCCTGTGATATTTTTATGAGGGCTCATTGCTTCTTATGAGTTCTTTTTTTTTTCTTCAATGGGTCTGATGATAGAAGGTTAAATGGAGAGGATATTTATTGAAGAATTGAGAGCTCCTAGATTAAGTAGAGGTCCTTTGCGCTGTGCTTTTTTTTCTTAACAATTAAGGATTTCCTGATGCTTTTTTCTTTGATTTATTGCTAAACTATTAGAACAGACATATGGTAGCATGCAATTACAAATATTCAAAATATAACCTGCTGCTGAAGTGTAAAGTGTCGCTATTGATCTAGCTGTTATACTGGAGATCTTGGCATAAATCCAGATTTAGATGATAAGACTCCAGTTTATGGCCAGTAAATCAAACAACATACTAGTCCCTTGCTGAGATGACTAAACTAAGTCCCCTTTTTGTATCTCTCTTGGTGGCTGCCCAAGAGAATGTTGTTATGATATTTCTAAAAAAGAACAAAAGAGAGTTCAGTTATCTGGCCAAAATTTCCATACCATAGGAACGTGTGAGAGCTGTTTTTCTGTCTAATAGCTTCCCTGTAGGTGTATTCAGGATTTGTACATTGCTATCTAATTAACATTGTAAAATGTTTCAAAATACCTTGAGTATGGGAAGCATGTTAGAAAACCAAGTCCTATTCATCTTTCTATACATTCCATTATAGACTTCTTTTATTGCAACCATTGCAATTAATACATTTTCAAAGAATTTAGAGGTTTTTGTATTAAGTGGGGCCTATTAAAAATCTGGCAGTATTCCCAAACTGGTAGTACAGAGGCAGAATTATCCTTTGTGCACACTAAAAGCCTGATTTTAAAGTGAAAGAAACAAAACTGGTGTTTTTGGCCTGCTGACCTTTACCTCCTTGACAAATGCTGGTGGCTTGAAACATCAGCTGTTCTGTTCCCTTTTTGCGAAATCTAAGGGATAAAAGGAAATAATTGGTTTGAGCTGATGTTTCTTTTGTCAATTCTGTCCTTTAATGTGCAGTAACTTTTTTCTTATTTTAAGTAACAAAAATATAGAATTGGAATAATCTGTACAGTGCAGGAAACCTTTCAATATGCCTTTCACAAAGGGAACATTACTACCTTAGTGAAATGTTAACCTTTATTTAAGTCCTTTACAGAAAACTCCATTAAAAGGATGTTAAGGTTGCAAAATCAGGCTTTAAAAAGTTGGGAAATGCCACATCAAACTTGCTTTTGCATAATGTGAATGCATTATGATACAGTCCTTAATTACATGATCTCATACTATATTTTCCCTGGGACACCTGTCTCATTCAGTACAGATGATGAATGGTGCTCATGGAATGAGCAGCTATTCAGTATACCATTTTATCTTCATTATTGTTCAATGGGTGGCCCAAGGCCTATTTGCTGCACAGCACTCAAATGCTGTTATGCATACAGAATTATTAATTTCCTTATGGGCTATTCTGTGGCACTCATCATTGTAGCATCTGAGTGCTTCAGAAACAATAATGAATTTTAACTTCATGGCACCCCTCTGAGGTAAAGTGGTATTATTACTTCCGTTTAACAGATGGAGAATTAACACATTGAGACACTGTTGTCAAAAGTGCATACTAATTTTGGTTATTGTTTGCTTTTTTAAAAGATAACTTATTATGTATTAAGTAGTTTATCATTTTTATCATTTTGTGTGTTCAAATCCTAGCTCTTGTTGACTTCAGTTTCAGTTATGAGTGTTCAGGACTCCCTCATGCTAGAGGTCCTAGCTGTTGAACATCTACTAAATAGAGAATGCACAGTTCATGACCATTTTTGAAAAAAAGTTGTGGAGATTCAGGTTAGGGACAGACATTAAGAATGCCAGAGCCTGAATTGATTCAATCTTTGCAGGTTAGTCTAGCCTGCCTAGATTGAACCAATTTGCAAGTGAATAGACATTCACTGTTAACTCTGGAAATGCAGGCAGGCACATGCCAGTGGCTCAGGCCAGAAGTCAGGGTTGAGGGCTAGAGCAGCCCTCGGCTGCAGGGAAGCTGCGCAGTGAGGGGGGCAGCCAGCTCAGGCAGTAGCGTGGAGTGAATTGGCCAGGGAGGGGGTTTAATTCCCCCCTCCCTGTCTCACTGGCATGGACCAGAGCCAGGGCCCACCTGGTGCTCCCCCCTCACTGCTGCAGTGGCAGGGGTGGGAGTGCAGCTGGATGCTAGCTGGATGCTAGCCGGCATGGGCCCTGAGGCAGAGGGGGCAGGGAGAGGGGTCTCTCTGGTCCCTCTGTCCCTGGGGAACCACAGCGGAGTCCGCTAGCCCCAACCGCTCCCTGTGTGGCACAAGTGGGGGGATAAGCCACCTCATGCCCCCTCTGCCAGATGCCATGGGAGGGGGGAATTACCCCTGTCCCCACCCCCTTGCCTAAGGGGCCATGCTGGCCAGAACTCTGGCCAGACCCCCACCCCTGCTGCTGCAGCGGTGAAGGGGCAGGGCCCTTGATGGGAGCAGCAGCCCCTGTCATGGTGTCCAGGGAGTGTGAGCCTCTTTTCACCAGGGGGCCTGTGCTGCTGTTGGGGGTGGCAGTCAGGGTTAAGAGCTACCGTGGACTGTGCTGGGCGAGTGGTGGTACGCGCACTCGGAGGTTTGGCCATAGCTGCCCAA